AACAGTTTTGTCCCCCCCCCCCCTCCCCCCCTCTTGTTACAATAATTAGTCATTTTATTGAGACATTGATTCAAAGTCATGTCATACGACTTATTAAAAGAGAAGTTTTTTTATATCATTATTCAGGGCTTGAACCAGACAACTCCATTCAAGTGGTAGTCATATTTCATATAAAACTCACTATGGGTATTCCATATCTAATTTAAAATCAAACATTAGGAAACTTTGTGGCAATGTATTATCTTAATTAATCTAAAAAAATTGAACATTTCTCCTTTTAGTGAAACAACGAAATTTACCTTTTCAGATTTATTTTGTCTCCAAGTTTTAATTCTTTCTTTATTTTCATTAAAATTGTGGAGTTCTGAAATTTTGAGTATATGAATTCTAAAACTTAGACCAAATCTATTAAATTCTATCGAAATTGTAATTTTTGCTACAACACAATACTCTTCAGGTGTGACAACTATATATGGCCCATACAACAAATAAAATTAATTCAAATGAAAGATCATATTGATTAGAATTTGAATATATACTACAATCTCTACCTTCTAATCCTCAAAATTTTAAGTCCAAATAATGGAATTTGTCTACTTTTTCATCTCCTATTTGATGACAGAGTCAGCATATTCATTAAAAAAAAAGTCAAATATAACAAAGAAAATACACACATATATATGATTTTAAAATATCTATTTATACATAAGTGTAATGTCAATTGATATATTTTGATCAAGGGTAACTTCATCACTTTGTATCATCTAAAATACCTAAGGAAAGAACTATAACTATTTTTATCATTACATCTTTGTCTCAAACTAGTAGAAGTCTTGATTTAAAAATTGACTCATTAAGCTTCTCTTAGCCACCAAGTATATATCCAGTACTCATAAGGATGTATATAATTGAGCTCGTGCAAGAATTTCTAGAAACAAAACTCGAGTTATAACTTATAAGGATGGTTATTGAGCTTGTGTAAGAATCTCTAAAAACAAGGCTCGAGTTACTCGTAAGAGAGTAATTGAGCTAGTGCAAGAATCTCTAGAAACAAGACTCGAGTTACTCGTAATATAAGGATGGTAAATTGAGCTCGTGCAAGAATCTCTAGAAACAAGACTCGAGTTATAACTCATAAGGATGGTTATTGAGCTCATGCAAGACTTTCCAAAAACAAGAATCGAGTTACTCATAAGGATGGTAAATTGAGCTCGTCCAAGAATTCCTAAAAACAAGGCTCAAGTTACTCGTAAGGGCAGTAATAATTGAGCTCTTGTGATAATTCAAAAAAAAACAAGGCTTGAGTTACTCGTAATGAGAGCAAATTGATATCGGCAAGAATCTCTAAAAAGAAAGCTAGAGTTACTCGTAAGGAGAGTAATTGAGCTCGTGCAAGAATCTCTAAAAATAAGACTCAAGTTTACTCGTAAGAATGGAAAACTGAGCTCGTGCAAGAATCTCTTGAAACAAGACTCAAGTTACTCGTAAGGATGATAATTTGAACTTGTCCAAGAATTCCTAAAAACAAGGCTCAAGTTACTTGTAAAGAGAGTAAAATCTCTAGAAACAAGACTCTGAGTGGTGGAAAACAATAAAATCGTTCACGGTGGGACTCGAACCCACAATCTCCCGCTCCGGAGGCGAGCGCCTTATCCATTAGGCCACGCGAACTTCTTGCTCTTAAAAACACAAGTTATTTTACTTGTATTATAGTAGTAAACTCTGGATTCTCTCTTTATTGAAGTCGAGATTGTACGAGGAGAGAAAGACTTAAGTCGATTCGTGAAAATAATAGTTATACTGCTTCCATATCTTATCTCAAGTTAATTACTCCATAGCTAGTGTGGGTATATGACATGACTTCATCAATAGCGGTAGAAATAGTATTCACCATTGCTTACAATGTTTTCATTCACTCCTTGCATTATTACTTCAAAAACATTTCTTTTGAGTCGATCGAGGATTTATAAGAAGCAACCTTTCTACCAGACAAAAAGACAGACATAAGGTCACGTGCATTTTATCCTTCGATCGTCAAACCTCACTTGTGAAATTACGGTACTATGCATGTTGTCATTGTTTTTACAACATTTTCCTAATACCCTATTATATGCCTTGTAGCACTGTCATATTTTACATGTTTTTAATTCTACTCAGCCAAGCACACAAAAACAATTTATCTTTTTTCAATGGAAATCATTTTCTTCCCTGGCTAACATGCACACTAAAGTGTTTTTTCTTCAATTTTATTAAAATTCACAACCTAATTGATTACATACTACTAAAAATATAAATACCAACAATCTCAAATTACTAGATGATAAATATAAACACACATCTCGTGGAAATACAACTCTCATAATTTAGTAGTAATTAATTTAGAGGTGGGATCTAGAACGATTTCGATGAGTTCAACTGAACCTAGGCCCATTAAGACTTTCGCCTCAAGCTATATGTATACATGTATCACACGAAAATTTCAAACGTAAACATAATAAAATCACACTTATTTTGTGAATATACTGACTCTTGATCTTGAAATATTCGCCTCTAACTGATCTCATCAGACACATTATTTCCAGAACTCATGAAGACATTATACCAAAAAACCATATCATTGTTGAAACTAGTCATGTCCCCATGTTCATTATTTGTTGAATATTGCATGTTCTCTTCCTTGTTTGATTGAGTGTCATGATGAGAACTTGAATTACTCTCTTGAATATCTTCTTGATCATGATAATAAGTTGGATGATAGGCAACAATATTTTGAGAATCTTGAAGATAGTTTGAAGGAATATGTTGATCCAATATTTGTGATACATTTGTTATAGTGGATGGTAGATCATTGTGTTGTTTTAATTCTAATCTTTTCTTCAAGTGAGTGTGCCAAAAATTCTTGATTTCGTTATCTGTTCTTCCTGGCAATCTTGATGCAATTGCAGACCATCTAAAAATATGAAACAAATAGGAAAAAGTCACATTTAATTGCACATCAACACGAATATAAGAAATAAATAGAAACCATGTTTGGTTTTTGATATTAAATTCTGCATATAACTTGTACGGATTTTAATATCGAAAGTAAAACATGGTATAACTAATACGGGTGATATAAGTTATATGGGAGTTTATGAATAATTTTATACGATATAGAAAGTGAATTAAATAATATGTGCATTAGATATATATGGATAAGAATATCTAAAGATGAAAATGATTTTACGAATATAGATAGTTTAGGTTGATTTCTCTGATGATTACTCAAATACTAACTATAGTTGTTATTTCATAAAGTTAAAAAAAAATTGATTCTAATTTTCTTCAATATAGAAAGTGATTTTCTCAAATAATAACTATTAATTGAGTAGAGACATCAATTCTATGTATAGTTCCTAAGAAACAATTCCCCTATTATTTATTTACCATATAACTATTGAGAATTTTATGCAAAATATTTGATCACATAAACTGTAGGGAATTCTCATAAGTTTGAGGTGTGTCAATGACATTTTTCTTAAGAATATCATCCGATATAGATATATTCCTAAAATTTCAACAAATTCTTTTAATATAAAAACTAGGAACACGTAAACTACCAAAAAATCATCAAGAAAGAAACTCAATCACAATATATAGACCATAAGAAGAAGGAATTTCTCGATCTATATAAAACATATGAATATTTCCTTTTGAGATATTAAAATTATTTTTCTATTAATAACGAACTCTTATATTATTTATTCTCCACATAACAATTCTGATATTATTAATTTGTTTCCCTACAAACAAAAAACCATATATTACGATCCCATACCTAATACATCAAATCAAACGACCCATGTATATAGTGACATGCATGAATAAGAAATTACAAATTATAAGAAGAAGAACACGAGGCACAAAGTTGTGATATATATATATATA